TAGAGAGAGATATAGATAGAGAGAGAGAGAGAGAGAGAGAGAGAGAGAGAGAGAGAGATAAGAGAGAGAGAACAAGCTAGAATTCTAGTATCTGTAAGGCAGCACAGCAGGCACAACAGCGCTATCCGTCGTCCCGCGTCGCACACAACGTGTCGTGTATTTCCTGTGTCACCGGTTATTAACTCTGCTGCCCGTAGGAATGCAAGGACGTCTGCGTCGATGACTCAACACTTCGTGGAATGACAGGTAAGCCCCCTGGTGTACAGGCGCAGTAATCAAAGTGACGCGTAACAACAAAGCAGTCAACTAGCCGACCAACTCAGGGCCAAACATTGGTAGCGCTTACACGCAACGATGACATTGCAAAACACAGCACATCATATGATGAATAGCATAGCTGTAGTATAACTGATCATTAAGCGGAAAGCAGTGTCTATACTGATAGTGATAGGAGGAGTAATGTGTAGACGTATAATCTTACATGTGCGGCGGTGTGTAGCTCTGAGCTGTATGTAATAACTGTAATAACAGTTATTACAAATGAAAATAGTTATTATATACAGCTCAGTAGGCCACAGCGACGTAACAATGAAAGGACAAAAATGGATTGCGCGTGCTTAGAACTTGTATAAAGTAACAATAGCGGCTATGACGAAATATTCTTTACTAAACATCCTATTACGTTCTTAGTTATTATAATTTTTTACATTTAGTTTTAGTCACATTTATTAATTCCTAACGTTTAGTTATTGTTAATGATTACATTTTAGTTTTATTCCTGTTCTTATATTACTGTTCATATTTATTATTATCCTATGACCTACTCATGAGAGTAACTAATGCTATAGTCAATGTTGCATTCTACACGAGTAGTACGATGCATATAAGCATCTCATGTAAGTTGTTGCTGATACTCACACAATGCTACGTGTTTTAATACTACGAGCAGAAAAACGAACGTGGGCTCGCGTAGCGTCGATCGAGCTGTTGTGTCTGGCTACGTGATTTATGCTGGGCAATGTGATACGCAGCGCGTAGTGCTTGCTGGAGATGTGCCGGCATTTTGCAGTGGCTCGTAGCAGTTTCGAGGTTCTAGGTCGAATGAGAGGTCTAAACGTATATAAAAAAACATGAATGGATCTGGCAAAGCACACGTCTGAATTTACGAAGGTCATGGAAGTAGATTGATATTGATATCTTATTTCAATCATCAATCCAACGGTCAGTCCGACGATCCATCCATCCATCTAGCTACTCACTATTATATATATTATATTATGTCCTACCAGAATCTTATACTACCCTCTCACACCGTCCCACACCTATAGTGATGAAGTTAGGGGCAGGTGCTAACCTACTGTAGGTCTATGGCATAGCCACCTATCGCATCTATTTTTGATGTTGGAGATATTGGCGATTGTTGCCATTATTTTGTGTTTTTAATTTTCTCTTCACGAATGTTGCCTGGTATGTGGCACATGTAAGATGTATTATTATGATGAATGCTCGATGTTTTATGTGGTAATGTCGGTGCATGTTTAAGAGAAACGTGTTGTAGTTAGCTTACGATGCATTTGTTCTGTGACGCATACAGGCGATGGATAGAGCACATCGTATCGGTCAGAAGAAAGTTGTCAACGTCTACCGGCTCATAACTAAAGGAACCCTGGAGGAGAAGATAATGAGGCAAGTTTTTTCAGCAGAATAATACTACCAGTAGAGCAATAACAGATTGCCATTTATGCATACTAACTAATGCTTTGTCATTCATGTACAAGATAATCGGCAACGATTTCGTTTGTGAACGAGTGAAATTGACCCGTTTTCTTTCGCGTTACTTTTTCACAGTCTTCAAAAGTTCAAGATCAACATTGCAAACACTGTCATAAGTCAGGACAACTCAAGTCTGCTCTCCATGGCAACCGACCAGTTGTTAGACCTCTTCGCATTGGACAATGACTGGCAGGAGACGAAAGCTGACCAATCAGATGACTCGAGACAGTCGATGAAGCAGGTTCTGGAGAACCTTGGAGATCTGTGGGACGAGAAGCAGTATGAAGAGGAGTATGACCTTGGAACCTTTATGCAGGCCTTGCACAAGTGAGATGCAGTACATTAGCACCTTTATGCAGGCCTTGCACAAGTGAGATGCCATTACTTTTGCACAAATCACATCACAGGTTCCACAATGCACACTCATCCATAGTTCCATGGTTTTCAGTATGAATCTGATAACTCAAATCATTGATATGCACACGTCGTAGTTTGACCGGCTTACATCATATTGGCGGTTCGACGAGTGATCGTACGGGACTGCGTTACATTTTTCGATGCCAATAGTTTGTAGGCAATCTCGTTCATTCTTGGAGCCGTGGTATTGTGGTCACTGCCATAGAATGCCAATGCAGTACATTGAAAGGTGGGCGTGTGACGGTCACGTGTCAGCCACGTGTCCTAATGCAGCAGCGATTGCAGCTTTTTGTAATGGTCTTCTAAGTTATGACAAATTGTCGATAGTTGCGTCTCTTTGTTGATGTGCTAAAAGTACACAGACTACCTAGCGCACCCTCGCACAATACGTGAGTCAATAACGTACGAGCAAGCGAGGTAATACGTGGCAATACAGGGTTGCTATTTTGGCAATGCTGTCGTGGTGGCCTTTGTTTGTGTGAGCTCTTGTCTGTTGCTCGTTTTGGTTAACGGTCATGTCAACATTTAGGCGTGCGGTCACTTGTGTGGTTTAGTGTTTGGTTGTTCGATAACACGAGGTGTAATAACAGGTATTATTGTGTGTCGATATATTTCTGTTTGAGTCAGTCGAAATTGATGTATAGAGGGCACGTTAACTTACGAACAAGAGAGATGGTTCTTGCCACTCGGTGGTTTCTGTTAGCTGGATCCAAGACGAAGTCGGGTGTTTTTTTTTTACTCATGAAGCTATACTGTGCAAGAAATCATACCTTCGATTCTAAGCCAAAGTGTACTTGATGTATTTAATTATTTTTTAGCAGATGCACTGCTTAAAATACAAGCAATGATGAGGTATGGATTCATTCTAGCAACTCGATCGTACTACTTAGTATAAGTACTTTCAAGCAAACTGGATCGTAATGTGTAGCATGCTCCACGTTCGTTTCGCGAAATCGGCATACAGATCGTGAGTCAATTTAACGTTACTTCATTTGATTTTGTATTTTCATACAAAAAAATTAATGGTGATTAGCTCAAGGGGATAGTGAGGCCCTGTGTGCACGCTACATGTGACTGGCAAGATGAGTGTTACGTGCATGCTGTTAGTAGGAATCTTCCATGACGAATAAACTATAGCCAGGAAATACAGTGATATGTTTCTGTATATTGTGAAATAAAGTGAAGGTTCGTAGTTTAAAACATGTTGCTTCTCCTAATGTCTGCAACTAAACGCCTTACGTTAGAGACACATTACTTTATCAAACAGAGAGACAATCTAACAGAGACAGATCAAACAATCTAAATGTATGTTTATTGGTTATGTAATTCGAAAACTGTTGCTATGCAAGGATATCGTGATACTTTAGCGACCGTATGTAACAAATTCAACTATATTTCATAGTGTTCTTGGAGTGAGGATAATTCTGACCTTTGAGTGTGTCAGTTTTGTCGGACATTTGGACACTCGCAGAATGAAGACAAATTATTCTATTGTATTTTCATCTTTTCTCTCTCACACACTTTGGGCATTTAGCAAAACTGCACATTTAAAAACACTTCATAACAGATTCTTACTTAAACTACAGAAGACCACATCATGAGAATAAAGTGGTAAAAGTTCAATGCGAACATATCACTGCCTAGATGAAATTTGTAAGGTTTGTAAAATGCCATGTAAAACTAGACAGACATGTCTACAGTACGGAGGTCCGGATGGCTATCATATCGCCTAGCTATCACATCCTGGGCAGTTGAAGAAAACCCAGTGTTAACTAGACAGAGGGCACTCACGGAGAGTGCATACCTCCGCGAGCATGTAACATGTATGTGCTCGCTGGTGGCGGCTGCTGACTGACTCGCCTGCTGCTGACTCGCCGCTCACTGGTGGCTGCTGCTGACTCGCCACTCGCTGACTCGACGTGCTATCGATTCGCCGCTCACTGGTGGCTGCTGCTGACTCGCCACTAGCTGACTCGACGTACTATCGATCGCGCGGTGGCTACACACACACACGAGACCGATTACATGACCTCCGTTGCGTGGAGGTAATAATAGTCATTGCCTCAGCCTTTAGTGAAGAATTTAATGACCATTTTGGCCACCTTACTACAGTGCAAACGGTCGTGCATCAATTATATTGATGCTTTTTTTTTTAAAATGTCATATTCTGCCAGAATGTTTATAGCCTTATGCGCTCCTATGTTTTAGGTCGAACAGCTTTCGTTTCTGGCTCTTTGCATGTCAAAACATACCCGTCTACACGTAGTTAAAACATTTGATAACAAGTAAAAATTTATATTAGATATATACATATACACCTACGGCTCACACAAAGTTGCCAGCAGATGGCGTTACGTTACGGCTATTTTAAAGCGCTCAAAAACGCTTTTTCAAAAGTCTCTATGCAAGTCAAACAGGTTTGCTAAGCGCGTGAAATGCGCTCTGGCTATGGTAACACTCTACGGGGTTTGCACCCACGCCATTTCATTTTCCTTTGTCCGGATGTTTGATCGGTTTTAATGCTCTCTAAAGGGCCTGTTTTCACGTAGAAACAACGCGCGTTGATAGGAGCCTCCTATCGTCTGCGTGCGGGACCGGCACGTTCTCACTTAGCCAACATAGAGCTTCATACGTTCCATCACTCGTGCGCGCGCCTGCTGAATTCTATAAACATTAATATATTATAAATATATATATACTATATATATGTATATATATAATATATATATGTTCCTATGTATATATATGTTGCTCCTTTGTGTAATATATATAGTAGTGGGTTGGCGTTGGTAGCGCGGGCAGGGTTGCCTCGGCGGGCGCCGGTACGGAAGTAGACGGTATATGAGTATAACGACTGGGGTCCTGTTGTATATATAGAATATAGATATAATCCGAAAAACGGTAATGGTCTACTGTATACGAAACGATATATACAGTCTCGCATCACAGACCCCCACGGTGCTCCATCAGTCATCCGCCACTTAAGCTCGCCGGTGTTCTATCTGTGAAGCGAGGAGTGGCGCCCTACCGCCCTTATGACAGCTGACTTGAGTCCTACGCAGCGCGAGGGAGCTCAACTGAGCCTCACCGCGCGGAACGCTTCAAGCCTGCGATAGCGCTGCTACCCCGCCAGCGCAACCAACGCCATCTACAGGGCCGACTCACTTCTGTGACTAGTCACTAAGAGGCTTTAACTGGCTGCGTGGAACCCGGAAAGGTGGGATCAGGAGACTAGCATATGGAATGTCTACGCCGCATTTGATTGGCAGAAACAGCGATATGCATGCACTGGTCATGCTGCTGTCTGTGCGATGTTGAAGGTGCCATCATAAACTGCACAAAGCCCATACCATGCTGGCGAATAAGCGTCACACCGAATGTGACACATCGAGTCAATGTGAAGCGAGAGAAGAGAGAGAGAGGATACATCACTACCTTACACCTGATGCGTGTTTGGATCACGACAGTCCGGATGTATACGATGTAAGGACGCAATTGATGTGGTTGTGTGTGTGTGTGTGTGTGTGGTGTGTGTGAGTGTGTGTTGGTGTGTGGTGTTGGCGCGCGTGGATGCGTGCGGCGTGTGTGGTGTTGCGCGTAGCGTGCGGTGCGTGCGTGTGTGTGTGCTGCGGCGTGCGTGCATGTGTGTGTTTTACATTGGCTAGCAGTTAATGTAACATTACATCGGCAGACTGTGTTGGATATAAACACGCATAGCAGGAAGTGAGTATGTACATTGCATAGCAGCTAGACTGTGTGTATGTTACATTGCATAGGACATAGCAAGCGATGGTAGAGTGACATGTGCGCTACTGGCAGTGATCGCTCACCACCGTACTCCGACCGATCGTCCACCGCCACCCGTTGTGTTTGTGTGTCCGTGTGGTGGTGTGTGTGTGTGGCTGGTGTCCGTGTTTGTGGCGTTTGTGCGCGTCGTGCTGGCTGATGTGTTGTGTGGGGGTGCATTTGTGTGGTGTTGCTGTGGTGGTGTGTGTAGTGTTGTGTTGTGTTGTTGTGCGCGCGAGCTGGAGCCGCGAGTATTGTGTGTTGTTGTGTTTGTGTGTGTGTGTGTGGTGTGTGTGTGTGGTGTGTGGTGTGTGCGCCGCCTGTGTGTGTGGCGCCAGCCGAAGGCGTCGCCTACAGCTGAAACGGTCGTTAAGCCGCCCGCTGCAGCTCTGTTAGTTTCAATCTCATCACTAATCCACACCGGCCGCGCATCGCCAGCCCTGTCTAACCGCCTACTCGCATATACGCTCAACGAGTGATTGCGTCGACGAGCGCAGGGGAGAAAGATAGAAGAGAGGAGGAGCGAGCGAAGTCTGCTAACGAGTCCGAGAGAGAAGCAAGAGAGAGAGAGAGAGAGAGTCGCATGAGAGAGAGAGAGAAGAGAACAGAGGAGGAAGAAGAAAGCGCGAGACAAGACCGAGACGTGAGATAGAAAGAAAGAATAGAGGTGAGAGAGCGAGAGTCGAGACCGAGGACGTCAGAGAGAGAGAAGAGAGAGAAGAGATAGAGAGAGGAGAGGTAGAAAGATATAGATAATAGATATGATAGTATGAAAGAGAGAGAGAGAGAGCAGAAGAGAGAGAGAGAGAGAGATAAGAGAAGAGAACAACCTACCGAATTTTAGTATGCCTGTAAGTCAGCACAGCAGCAGCACCCACGCTATCCGTCTCCCGCTCGCACATCCACACGTGTCGTGTATTCCTGTGTCATCGCGTATTTAACCCTCTGGCGTCCGCGTAGGAATGCGGCAAGACGTCCGCGCCGATGACTCATACACTTCTCGAATGACATGTCAACCCCGCCTGTATACAGAGGCGCAGTAATCAAATGCACGCGTAACCAACAAGCATCACCTAGTCTGCCAATCCGCTCTCAACATCAGCCGGCAATTGCCGACATTGTAGCCCGCTTCACCACCACCGATGACATTCCGCAAAACACCAGCAAATCATATAATGAATATGCATAGCTTATATAACTGGAAGTCATTAAGGCGAACACAGCCTGTCTATAACGATATGATCAGTATAGTAGACTATAAATCTTACATGTGTGCGGCGTGTTAGTCTCTGACTGCTACGCCCCGCCTCACCCCATCCCCAACCCTGTAATACCACAGTGATTACAAAATCCCCAAAATAGTATTATATCAGTCTCAGTAGTCACATCCTGCGTCGTAAACAGGGAATAGGACAAAAATGATTCGCGCCTGCTGCTCTAGACACCTTGATACAGGAACAATGAGTGGCTATCGACGACATAAGACTTTTTTACTAAACATGCAGTGTCGCCGGCGGGCCGGCGGATACTTACTTAGTTTTATATAAATTTGAAATTTAGTTATCACATTATTAATTCTCTAACATCATTTAGTATTAATGATTAGCATTTAGTTTTATTCCTATATTTAATTCCTATATACTGTTCCTGATTATTATTATCCTACCTACAATACTTCCATCCGAAGTCACCTAATGCTATACGTTAAAGTGCATTCTACAACGATATACATGCATAACAAGCATCTCCATGTCAAGTTTATGCGATACTCCACCAACAATGCTCCACCTGCCTTAATACTAACGAGCAAAAAAACGAAACGTGGGCTCGCGTAAGCGTCGATCGAGAGCGTTGTGTCTGGGCCTACTGATTATGCTGGCAATGCCTTGAACTACGCAGCCGCGTATGCTTGCCTGAGATTTGCTGGACATTTTGCAGTACTCGTAGCAGTTTCGAGGTTCCTAGATCGAAGAGAGGTTCTAAACTAATAAAGAAAAAACATGAATGATCTGTGCATAAGCACAACGTCGAATTTACGAAGTCATGCAAGAGATGATATTGAATCTTATTTCAATCATCAATCCAACGGTCATCTGCACGATTCCATCCATATCCATCTACTACCACTATTATATATATATATAATATACTATATATATATATATATATATAATATAACAAGTCGTGTGTACGTGTGGCGTATGTGCGTGTGTATTGTCCGAAGGTAGCAAAGTGGATAGATAGGATATTGATATACATACTAACCAGGACGCCAAATAAGCGCCATAATATAATATATATATATATATATATTATATAATATATAATATATTTTTATATCGCGTGCGTCTGTCCCATTCTATTTACTATGCAGCTATTCTAGCCGAAGTGACAACTGCTTATCGTATAATGCTAC